CAATCAGGCTTTTACTGGCCCACGCTCTTCAAGGACGCAAACGCCTTCGCCCGCAAGTGCGACCGATGCCAAAGGTCAGGTAACATCTCTGCCCGTGATGAGATGCCCTAGAATGTGTTTATAACTTGTGAAATTTTTTATGTCTGGGGTATCGACTTCATGGGCCCCTTCCCTCCATTATTTGGTAATACTTATATCTTGGTTGCTGTTGACTACGTCTCTCGGTGGGCTGAGGCGCAAGCTTTGCCCACTAATGATGCTAGACGTGTTTTGTGGTTTTCTGAAGTAGCTATTCTCCCAGTTTGGGACACCTAGAGCCATCATAAGCGATCGCGACACCCATTTCCAGGGCCAGTTTGATAAGTTACTGTCTCACTATGGTGTGACTCATAAGGTGTCCATGGCCCATCACCCTCAAACAAGTGGCCAGGCCGAGCTGACGAACCAGGAGCTCAAGCGTATCCTGGAAAAGACGGTGGATCAGTCCCGCAAGGATTGGTCCACCAAGCTCGATGATGCTCTTTGGGCATACCGCACTGCCTACAAGACACCCAATGGTACTTTACCGTACCGGCTTGTCTATGGAAAGGCATGCCATTTGTCCATGGAGCTAGAGCACAAGGCCTTTTGGGCCCATAAGCTACTCAACTTGGATGTTAGTGTTGCAGGTGTTGAGCGCAAAATGTAGATGCTGGAGTTGGAGGAATAGCATTATCACGCCTATGAGAACACCAAGCTGTACAAGGAGCGCACTAAGCGCATGCACGATGCACGATTGCAGGGTCCGAAAGAGTTCCAGGTTGGTGATCGAGTTCTCCTTTATAACTCTCGCCTGAAGCTCTTTCCCGAAAAACTTCGTTCCCGGTGGTCTGGACCGTTCGCGGTCACACAGGTGTTCCCGTATGGCACGATTGAAATTGCCAACCCGCAGACTGATTCGTTTAAAGTAAATGGCCACCGTCTCAAGCTCTACTTGGGAGACGAGGTCGAACGTGCGGAGTTGGTAGTGGAACTCACGGACCCTTAGTTTCGCCATGGGCGTCCAGCTAAAGACGGTAAAGAAGCGCTTGTGGGGAGGCAACCCCACCACGGTTTGCATTTCTTTTTCCCTTTTTCTATGTTTTTGTGTCGTATTGAGTCAGTTGCATGTCTGTGTTGATTCGGTCGTTTGTTTTGCCTCGGGTATTTTTGGCTCCTGACCGGGACCCCTTCTGCCTCTCGGGGCACCCAAAGGGCAAATCCCCTACCTTGAGCCAAAAATACCCGACCGGGTATTTTTGGCTCAAGGTAGGGGATTTCCATGCCTTGGAACGCGGTGTTTTCAAAACCCCCGACATTGATCCAAAAATACCCGACCGGGTATTTTTGGCTCAAGGCTGGGGATTTCCAGGCAATTGAAACGCGTCGTTTCCAAAAACCCCGGTCGTGGCCTCAAAATATCCGACCGGATATTTTTTAGGCCCGACCGGGGATTTTTGCTATTTAAGCAAACCACCGGTCGTTTTTCTCTCTCTCCTCTCATTTTTTCCAAATTTCCCCTCTCTTTCTCTCAAAATCCTATACCCTCTCTCTTCTTTGGCGACCGCCGGCCACTACACTCCGCCGTCGGCCGCCGCCTCTGCCGCCCCTCCGCCGCCACTGGCCGCCCCTCCGCGGCCGCCTCTACCACCGCCTGCCGGCGCTGCCGCCGTCGCTGATCGCTTTTCCGGCGACTTTCTGACGGTTTTCCGGCCGATTTTCCGGCGAGCTTCCCGGGTCATTTTTAGCGTCTTTTCGCGTCCCTCACCCATCTCTTTGCATCTCATCTAGAGTTCCACTTGAGTTTCCAGGTGTGTTTCTTGTTAACTATTCTTTTTCTGGAAAATTGAACTGTAGATTGTAGGATCGAGAACTGTGTTTGCCTGGCATGCTTGAATTAGGATAGGGGGGGGCTTCATTGAGTATGAATGGCTATGGCTATTGTGTGTGTGCTGCCCGTGTGCTTGAATTGGTCAGTTATGTTTGATTCTTGCCTTGTACGGTTGAGTCGCTTGCGATTCAACCGGTTATGCTTAAACTGTTAGCCTAGGTGGTCCTTAAGTGTGGGGGAAGTGATGAACCCATACTGTTGGTCCTGACGAGTTTTTCTTGGATCCACCTTTGGTTTGTTGATTTTGCAAGAGCATGTCACTCGGCCATCCTTTCGTGCAGGACCTGCGCCTGCACCCGGATTACGCGGACCAGTTCTGCAAGGTCACCCGCGGGAAACTGGAGCGCCACCACCATCTGGAGTTGGGCGTATTCGAGCAGCTCCATTGCATTTAAGAGCTCTCCACCGCCATCAGCCACTGAGATTGGCGGACAGTGCTGACCATCGAGGAGCCCACTTACATAGAGCTAATGTGGGAGTTCTACACCACCTACCACTACCGCCCCAAGGCGGCCCGGGACTCCCACGCAGTTACTTTCAGGCTTGGTGGCCACCCACGGGACCTGACCATTGACGGGTTGGCCTACGCCATGGGGATCCAGTACCACCCTTTCTTGGGAGCTTATTCCCCTCCCGAAGAAATGCATACTCCAGGTGAGAGGGGAGGGGCTTAAGCTCCAACTCTTGTGGCTCCTCCTATGATGTGGCGATTTGGGGTGAGATAGGGATCGGCTTGAATGGTTTGTATCTCCCCTCGATCGCGGCCTCGTCTAGCTCCGCGAGTTACTCCTCCAACTGCACATCCTGTGATGTCTGTTCCCCTAGCAAAAGACAACGCTCGAGGAAATCGTCAGTACCCGCACTCGTGATGGCGAGTGCGGTCTCAAAATCAACAATAACATCATAGTAGTCTAGATCATCATGGAGCTGGGGGTGTTCCATATTATCAGAAACAGAGAAGGTGATTTGTTCACCCCCAACTCGCAAAATCAATTTCTCATCGTTCACATCAATGAGCGCCTTGGCAGTGGCGAGAAAAGGTCTACCCAATATTAAAGGCACATCCACATCCTCATTTATATCAAGAATCACAAAATCAACAGGATATGAGAATGGCCCTACTGCGACTATCAAGTCCTCTGCAATGCCACTAGGATGCACAATGGATATATCAGCAAGTTGAATGCTTATCCTAGTAGGAGGTGCAACAATGGATAGAAACCGTCCTCTCAATTACTAGGCCAAGGTAAGCATTAGAGGCTACAATTGTAGCCCTCTTGGCCCAACCAATTGAGGGTTGACTTACCTTCTCCCTCAAACCAAGGCTTGGACGGTATAATCACAATTAACCTAGGTGTCTAATTCAAGTAGAGGATTTCCCTTCATTAACTTAGTTAGGTGGCTTGGAATGCCTAAGAAAACCCAGCTCAATTTTGAGAATCTTAATTAGATAATGGGGCTTCTCTCTAATCTAGGTTAGAATAGCATAATAAATTGCCAAGGAAACAATATGCACAATCACCATGAAAAATACATCAACGCTTAAACTAAACACCACCATCACATAATCATTCAATCCACACAATCAATTACATGATAGTAGTTAGGGTTCTACAACACCCAAGTGAAAAGGGAAACTACTCCATGCTAGACAAAGGAAGAACACAAAAGAGGAAAAAAGAAACCATCATTGTGATGCCTCCAACTCTCATTAGCTTAGTTTGACCCTGCTGTAGCTTTTGCAGAAGTAGCTTCTGGCTGGAGCTTTTAGATAAGTACTTTTCAAAAAAAGCAGTTGAGTGTTTGGTTGTAAAACTATTAGAAGTGCTTTTTAATATGAGAGGTTTTGTATAATGACTATAAAGGACTTATAATATAAAATATGAATAAAAATTCTGAACAATAAAAAGTAGTCAAAATGTGTCTTGTTAGATTTCTTTTATATTAAATCATATGATTTTATAATTTATTTTATTTTTAAAATGATATAAATGAGGGAGAATTATATTTTATGAAATAAAATTAAAATATGGTAAGGATAATCTTGTATTTTCAAAACAGATTTTCGCAGAAGCTCCAAATCGGAGCTTCTGCTTTTATGTTATACAAAAGTGCTTTTCGGCTTTTCAAAAGCCGAGCTTTTAGAGGTGTTTGGCCCTGCTTCGGCTTTTAAAGCCGAAAAGCACTTCTAAAAGCCGGGCCAAACATAGTGATTGTGCTTGTAGAGATCCTCCAAAGAAGACGAGCTTCCAAACCCTAGCCTCTTCTCCCTCTTGGTTCGTGATTTTCTCTCTCTAGAGTTTCAAGAAGAAGAAGGTTTCTCTCTCTTTGGGCTCTCCCCTCTTCTCCCTTTCAGCTGAACTCAGTGAGGTGGATCAAAACGCACCGCTTCACTTCTGGGTTCACGGTTTGTGGTTCCAATTCACGGTCTTAACGACCGTGAACTGCCTTGGCGTTAGTAACCTTAGAAACCCCTCGGGATGCTTCGTTGTTCACGGTTTGTGGTTCCAGTTCACGGTACTAGCGACCGTTAAATCCAATGTTGGACCGTGAACTCTCGCTAAATCCTCCTCTTTGCCCGGTCTTTGCTCCTTTTCTTCCAACTTTCGACTCCGGGGTTGGTTTCACCTGTTAGACTCTGAAACACATTGAAACACAAGAAACCTAGCGTAAAACCACCCTTTTTGGAGCTCAATTGCCACAAACGTCAAAGAGAAATGGGGATAAAAAGTGTACAATTAGACCCGAATCACTTAAGCTAATTGCAGATGGGAAGAAACCGAGTGCTGAGTTGAAAGGACCTCAATTTTTATCATCGCTCAACTTTTGGCCGATGCCAATGTAGTACCCAACATTTGATTATTTTAAATACAGGCTTATAAAAAAAATTCCTAATTCCAACTCAATTCCCAATCCTCTATAAATACCCAATCTACGAACCGTAGATGAACACGTCTACATTCGTAATTCTTACACATTGTTATGATTGCTATGTTAGTGAACAATGGATGCATGATGAAATAACCTCTCTTAAAAAATGGATCAGAACCCCTCCCTTGAAAGTGGAATTTCTAATTCTTTTTTTTTTAATAATGGAATTTCCAATTGATTAAGCGTTTATTTAGAAAGAAAAGACTGCGTGCTGAGACACTAGAACTGCCAATCAACAATCGACCTCCATCTCTATATAATGAACATGATTTATTGCATTCAGAATATGAATGACGAAGGGGAACGATGAGAACAATTTGCTACGTCATAAAAACAAGGTGAACATCTTTTTGACTTGAACCACTCTAAGACGATCAATGCGCATTACTACAAGTAGAACACAACAACAAATGTAGACAATGGTGGAATAGATACGCCACTTCTCATCCCTAACGTCTCCTTGATGACTTCCCTTTGGCCTTTGGGTCGAAATGGTGAGCTTTGAGTTTCTTCTTCTTTGGCAAACCAGTGGCACTACCACCGCCACCTTCCCTGAAGGGCATTCCCATCAAAGCCAACATTTTCTGGGCTTCTTGATCTGTGTTAGCTGTGGTTGAGATGCACACGTCCATTCCCCTAGGCTTTCCTGATAGATCAAACTTGATCTCTGGGAACACACCTTGCTCTCTTATTCCAATGCTGTAATTCCCGTGTCCGTCAAAGCTACTAGTGCTCACACCCTGGAAATCCCTTGTCCTTGGAAGCCCCAAGTTTATGAGCCTGTCTAAGAATGAGAACATCACCTGGTGGTTCAAGACCAACCAGAGTAGTGTCATACTTGGAGCAGGAAGAATTTATCCTGCCGATAGCAGTTGCGACCGGATAAGTGTGGGAATACAAAGAAAGATTATGCACTGTAGACTCACATTTCCTCTGAGTGTTACCGCGATTCCAAGTGGCTGACCCTCCCGGATCTTGAAAGTGGCAATGGAGTTCCGTGCTCGAGTTTTCACTGGTCTCTGGCCGGCAATCAGGGCTAAGTCGTTCATCGCTGCGTCCAGTCCCTTGGCATTCTGTGCAGCTTCCCCAATCCCACAGTTGAGCACAATCTTGTCAATTTTTGGAACCTAAACTTATAGCAGAAGAATGCCATACCCACGTCAGATACTCTGTTAATCATGGAATTAGCCATTAAAATAATATGGGACTTAACATGGTTGACGCGCGCATGAAGTTGGGGCACATCGCATCAAGGGAAGAACTTTAGCCTGATAGTCTAAACAATCTTGGAAGCTTTACTTGCAACTTGCAAGGCAGTCACTCAACTTAAGGGTGAACCGGAGCATTCATGAAATCTGCTAAGTTTTGTTGTTGTCAATTTTTGGAACCGGAGCACTCAACAATCGATGGTTTCGGAAGTTACTAGTCCTAAACTGTTCACAACAACCAAAAAAACTAAACCTAAATATTTTGAACGCCGATTTGCAAGAAAGCCAATCTTATCTGATTCTCCAAGCCCAGAATTCGATCCAAACAAATTTCAGATAAATGATGACAGAATTGGATATTAGAAAGAGGTGCAGGCCAGTGCCGGGAGGAAAAGAGAAAACCCACTCGCACCTGATGAATGTTAGAGTAGGAGAACTCTTCCATGAGAAGAGGAACAATTTTTTCGAGGTAAGTGGTCTTCAGGCGATTCACCTTCTCGGCTTCCGATTTCTCCAACAGCACAATCTCAGCAGTCGCTCTCACCGAGACCAACCCGTTGCCGTTTCGAGGGTTTCTTCTCGACGGGAGTCGCGTGGCCGCCGGAGGGGAAAATATAAGGGGCTGACCGCGAAATGCCGCCGCAGCGGCGGAATGTAGGAGCGAAGGAGACGCCATCGAGAAGGGAGTTAATTTCGGCGAGGAGTGTGACGGTGCCCAGAAGATAAAGTCTGCGGCGAGAAGGACGCTAGGTGACGTTTTAGGATAAAGGGGTATACGGAGGATTGTATTATCTACGGAATTGCCATTCTAGGTAAACGTTAGATTTGGGACTTTTTTCCATGTTTTAATTGCGATGGTATGGTTAGTCAATGAGATTAAAAAAACGTTCATGTTTCTCGCTAGAAATATTTAAATTAAATTTTAGTTACTAAAATTAGTAAAATGGTTCAAGTTTGGTCACTCTCCGTCCATTTTCGTTAACTCTAACTTACGTGACAGCCAACTTTCATAGTTGACCGTTAAATATCTGACGTGACAATTAAAAAATTATTAAAAAATAAACAAAATAATTTTTTGTATTTCCCACCTAATTATTACATTAATTAAAAAAACTAATTTCTTTTCTACACCCTCCATACCCTAACCCTTCCGCTCTTTGTCAACCCTGAGACTACGGAGACGACCGAGTGGTTATATATTTATGATTATTTCTCTGTTCCGACGTAGCTGGTGGTGGTTTGGTCTCTTTCGCATTGCATATATAGCTCCTCATCGTCTCACGAGGCGGGTGTTGTTGTCGCCGCTGGTTTCTGAATTTGGTTGATAGTCAGATTTCAATTGATTTCACTCAATCGGAACTCCGACCGGCGTTCCTGTGACCTAATTAAAAGCCACTGAACACTGGTGTCTTATTCTTGTCCTCCTTTATCAGCTTACTCCGACAGCGATGGCCCTGGTATGTTAACCTGAATGATAATATTATTGGAATCATATGGTGGTGCATTTTCCCATCGTATCGTAGACTACGTATGCTAAACGAGTGGCTGTTTTTGCGATTACAGTTATTCTTGTCTCGTGGAGAATCATCAATGGCGACAAATCAAATCTCTGTCATTCAGTTTCGGGACCGAGCTGTTGGTAACATTAAGCGCAAGTTTGATGATATAATTGTTAGGAACGGAACAACAAAAGGATCAAGGTTACCGAATCTGGAGCTGAGTCGCGGACTAGATCGCTCTCTTTAAGACGTTCGCAGTACTGCCTTCGATGCGCACGGCAGACTATCAACCTGGTATGTTAACCTGAATGATAATATTATTGGAATCATATGGTGGTGCATTTTCCCATCGTATCGTAGACTACGTATGCTAAATGAGTGGTTGTTTTTGCGATTACAGTTATTCTTGTCTCGTGGAGAATCATCAATGGCGACAAATCAAATCTCTGTCATTCAGTTTCTGGACCGAGCTGTTGGTAACATTTAGCGCAAGTTTGATGATATAATTGTTAGGAACGGAACAACAAAAGGATCGAGGTTACCGAATCTGGAGTTGAGTCGCGGACTAGGTCGCTCTCTTTAAGACGTTCGCAGTACTGCCTTCGATGCGCACGGCGGACTATCAACCGGTCGTCTCCAGGATAAAACAGCTCCTCTCGGTACTCGCGGTTTTGTGCGAAAACCGAAGCTCTCTAAACACTCTCTCTATTGTGTTTCTGCTCGTTGTGATGTGTTTAGAGGGGCTGGGGATGCGGCTATTTATAGGAGCCGAACCCCTAGGAATATACCCTCTTTTTAAGATAAACCCGAAGGATTATCCTTCGAATATTCCTTTTCAGTCGATTATCCCTTTCCTCAGAATAACCGATTAATAATTAATTTCGTTCGGAATTTCTGTAAAAAATATATATGTAGTCTCAAGTGAACCAACCAACCAACCAACCAACCAACCGACCGACCGGTCGGTCGGACAGACGGACGGCGCGCGCGCGTGTGTGGTGGTCCGTTAGGTCCTCCCTCTCCCACAAAAGTGGGTCACCCCAAGGGGCATGCCCTTGGGAGAGAGGCTCCTATCTTTATACCCATTTCACCAAGTAAAACTACCAATGTGGTAGTTTTTCCACTTGAGACTCTATATCTTTCAAAGCTATTCATATACATTTCCAACAATAATCGCCAACATTAGTTATTGGAAAGCTATCACAAATTCATATCTGAGGTAAATTTTGCTTCCGTTACATTCTACCCCCGAATTAACATTAGTCCTGCTTTTCTGAACCTCCAATGTTGTCAGAGAGGGCAATGTGCTTGGTAACGGCTCGTTTGAAGGCGTGATGAACTCTATTGGGCGTCATTGCCAGTTAAGATCTGAGGACTGGTTCTCAAACAAGAATGAAGATAATAATGGAGGGAATTCACATCCTGAATTTCTACCTCATATATATATATATATACGTAATTTTGAAAAATGTAACATCCTGAACTTTTTCCCGACGAAGATACTGTCCGCTTTGGGCATCAATCCTCATGGTTTTCGACTTGGGGTGCAATTCAAGGTGATTTCCCATAAGGTCACCCATCCTTGTTGTACTCCACACTAAGCATGTTTAACTTCGTAGTTCTCACAAGAACTCCTCCATTACACCCCAAAACGCGCCTTGTAAGTTAAGGTCGGTTTCTTACTTATGAACCATGGATCTCTTCCATGCTTTGTTGATGTGGGATTTTGCCTAAGGTGTTAGATACCCCCCCCCCCCCCCCCCCCCCCCCCGGGGACTCAACGCCCTCGTTGAGGTTTTCCCCACCATCGTTTAAGAGGGACGCGGAGAGTCTCTGATACCACTTGTAACATCCCGAACCTTTTCCCGACATATTTAGCAGTTAAACTTTAGTGAAGGTCCAAACAAGCAAACAAACAAAGCAAGTAAAAAGGTTGTTTTCAAATCGAGAGAGGTCACCCGGATATGGTTCCCCCTAGACTGTAGTTAAGCCGGAATGTAATTTACCAAGTTCAATTTCAATGATAGTTATACTGCGGGAGGTTCTTAAACGGTCTGCAGTCTCGACTAAAGGTCTCCAAACCCTCTCAATCTGAGTCTCCAGCGGGCGACTAACCTCCACTGGAGTAAACAGATTGAGGCCCTAACGAACCAAACCTTCACTACCGAAGTAAATTCGGTACAAAATAGTGAATTGACTTCTCGACTAAAGTTGCCAATTCACTACCATCAATCAAGGGTGCTCTATCAACCTAGACATATATTCTCTTTCTAGGTTAAAGCAGAAACAACAGGAATTTGATCAGGATTCATACCATTCAACAAATCAAACCTCAATTGAACATAATCATACCACTGAATCTGTACTTAGGTTCATACAATCAGACCTAAAATACAAATCTAGGGTTCTTCATACGCAGGTGAATAAGAAAGTTACTCCATTGAGAGAGATGGGAAATCTAGCTCAGATGCGGAAACCATACTGTGAAGGATGAGAATATGCTTCTGGCACTCAATCAGCTCTTCTCCAAGCTCAAGCTATGCTCCAATGGTGATGGAGATCGATCAAGGATACTTGCAGAATCAGGTTCGTCACTTTCTCTCTCTAGGTATCGCTTTTTCTCTCTAAAACTCGGAACCCTTTCTTTTTTGCCTTATTTTCCCTTAAGAGGCTGTCTGTCGCGATCCCCGACCTGAATACCCGGTCGGGTATTTTGGGTGGCGACCGGGTATCCTCAAAACGCACCATCGGGTAATAGGGGAAAATCCCCGGTCAATACCAAGAATCCCCGACCGGGCCCCCTTCTGCTTCTCAAACGTCCAAAATGCATTTTCCCCGGTCTGCTCCAAATAATACTCGGCCGGGTATTTCTGCTCATGGCCGGTTATTTTTCTCCTCCAGCACACTGCGACCCAAACAAGCTCCTTTCAACCCGAAACTCGTTTCTTCGCCTCGATGCCAACGCTACGTCCTGAAATATGACATAAACGCACAACCTAGCGTAAAATCGGCTTAAAACACGAGAATCAACATCTCAAACGGCTCGAGAATAGGGGTAAAAACATGTGTAATCAATGGTCTATTAGCTTCCCATAAGGTCACCCATCCTTGTTGTACTCCACACTGAGCACGTTTAACTTCGGAGTTCTCACAAGAACTCCTCCATTACACCCCAATACGTGTCTTGTCAGTTAAGGTCGGTTTCTTACTTATGAACCATGGATCTCTCTCGTGCTTTGTCGATGTGGGATTTGCCTAAGGTGTTACAAAAAAAAAAAAGCTAGTCAAAATGTTCAATCAATTTGTATGATTTGCAAACTTCTCATGCAATTAATCATAATTTGTAAAATGGTCTCGCTAATAGTAATGGCGATATCAATATTTGCAACCAATAGACACTATTAGCAAACCAAACAACACACCACTCTAAAAACAAAGAAGAAAACACTTTTTCTTATCTCAACATTTTTGGGCAGCAATACAGATTAATCTAAATGAAAATTGGGCGACAATATAGATCAATCTAAACGAAAATTGGGCGGCCTTTTGAAGCGAGAATGAAAAAGTTGGGCGGTAATATATATCAAGCAAAAAGAAATTGGGCGGCAATGCAACGTGAAGCAAAATTGAATAACAAAAAAAAGACATGAATTATATATATAATAAATTATAAGCTAATTCTCAGTGAAGTATAAATTTTTTGTTAAAAAAAACATATATGAATCAAGGTTCATTGAAAAATTTTGCAAGTCTTTTTAAAGCAATAATCCTAATTTATATCCATATGCAAAATCTAGACAAGGCACAATATTATAAACAACAGTTTATGGAAGATGGAAATCAGGTTTAATAATAAATGAATTGAAACATTGGTGAGTCGAATTGTGGTGAATTTTTCCTCATTAGATTTTTATTTTGGTAGAGACAAATTGTAGAGGGAAAGCAAAATGAGAAGAACGGAAAAGTGGGGAAGGAAATATTGGAGAAGTGAAAAGTTGGGATGAAGATATCAAAATGAGAGAGGAGAAGTTTCACACCTATATGAAAATGTGGTGGGAGAATTAGTGAGTAAGATTAAGTTTCCAACCTAAATGTAGAACCATATGCATTTGAGATAGGATAACTCTTTACATGTTCTCAAATCTACTATATCAAATTAGTCATGCTTATAAGCTATAGTAATGTTTGTTATAGAGTATAGACAATATTTTAGTCACTAAATGTTACACTCCTAAATCATCATATGTAAAAATTGTG